TGGGTGTTGATAGGTATTGCATTGAATTTGTAGATAGCCTTGGGAAGTATTGCCATTTTCACGATGTTAATCTTTCCAATCCAGGAGCATGGGAGTTTTTCCCATTTTCTAAGTTGTGTTTTGATTTCCTTTTTCAAGTTTTTAAAGTTTTCATCATAGAGGTCCTTCACTTCTTTGGTTAAGTTAATTCCTAGGTATTTTATTTTTTGGCTCACATAATCTTATCTCTAATAAACTACTTAAAAAAAATCTGGAAGTGGTGCTGTGCCTCAAGTGGTAGAGTAAAAGAAGCTCTGGGATGGTGCCCAAACCCGGACTTCAAGCCCCTGGACCAACCAAAAAAAAAAAAAGTTGACTATTACTATTTTTTTTAATTTTATTTTATTTGTGAAGATACTGTACAGAGGGGTTACAATTACATGGGCAGGATAATGTGTACATTGACTATTACTATTTTGAAAGTAAAAAAAATGACAGGTAATTATCCCCCCTCCCACCCCCTGGTCCTGGGGCATGAACTCAGGGCCTGGGCACTGTCCCTGGCCTTTATTTGCTCAAGGTTAGTACTTATCACTGGAGCCACAATGCCACTTCCGGCTTTTTCTGTTTATGCGGTACTAAGAAATTGAACCGTGGGCTTCATGCATGCTAGGCAAGCAATCTACCACTCAGCCACATTCAGCCCTAATTTTTTAAATTTTAAGTAGGAAATAATCGTACCTATGTAATTTTGAATAACATTTTAAGATTTTTTTTTTAAATTATAAGAATTAGATGTTAATATCTATGTTTTAATTGGTATCTAGGAATTACACCCAGGACTTTGTGTTTGCTAGACAAGCATTCTACCATTAAGCTACATCTCCAGCCCTAAATTACAAATATTATAATATTAGCATTTCAAAAACATTTTCACCACTGTGACTAATATTATAGTGAGTACTTTTGTGAATATTAGCATTTCAAAAACATTTTCACCACTGTGACTAATACTATAGTGAGTACTTTTGTGAATATTGTTATTCACATTTGGCATTATTACTTATAGAATGTATTCTCAAAAGTGGATTTTAAAAATTATGACATTTTGGGGCTGGGAAGGTGGCTCAGTGGTAGAGCACTTGCCTTGCATGCCTGAGGCCCTGGGTTCGATTCCTCAGCACCACATAAGCAAAAGGAAAAAAAGCTGGAAATGGTGCTGTGGCTCAAGTGGTAGAGCGCTAGCCTTGAGCTGAAGAGCTGAGGGGACAGTGACCATGCCCAGAACTCAGGCCCCATGACCACCCCCCCCAAAAGGAATTATGACATTTTCTATTTCCTCATACAGATGATTTTCCAAAGAACATGTATCCGTTTACATTACCACCTACAGGGTATAAAGCTATTTCATTGTTGTATTCTGCATTATATATTATGTTTTTTAAATTGCTCAATAACATAGGATGACATGTTCTAATTTCAATTTCCTGGGTTACTAGTGAAGTTGCAGATTTTCATATTTTATTTCTAGGGTCAGTCATAATTAATTTGAATGTTTTTCTCAAGCCCAGTTAACTTTTTCTTTTTCTTTTTTTAGTCTACCTAACTCAATTCCTGTGCTTCAGGTAGCATTTTAGAGATATAGTAGGTTTTTTTTTTTTTTTGTTGGTTGTGGGGCTTGAACTCTGGGCCTGGGCACTGTCCCTCAGCTCTTCAGCCACAATGCCTCTTCTGGTTTTCTGGTGGTTTATTGGAGATAAGAGTCTCACAGACTTTCCTTCCAGGGCTGGCTTTGAACTGGGATTCTCAGATCTCAGCCTCTTGAGTAGCTAGGATTACAGACATGAGCCACCAGCAACTGGCAGCAGTTTTTAATTACAAAAATTATACATATATATTCTTATAGACAATTTGCCCCATGAAGGTTAGAATGTGTCTGTGACTTTAAGCATCACTATCCCACAATACTGTGAAATTTGTGAAATTATGTAATTACAATAAAAAATTTGCAAAAAAATTATATATAGTCTCTATTACTTCCTCTTTCCTCCCCTTCTTCTCCTTTCTCCCTGCCCCCGCCCCATGCCATTTTCTTTCTTTTTTTTAATTTAAGACAGAGTCTCTCAGTGAAATCCAAGGTGACATTGAATTTTTTTTGTGGGGGGGCGGTTGTTCATGGGTCTTGAACTCTATGTCTGGGTGCTGTCCCCAAGCTTTTCAGCTCAAGGCTAGTGTTCTACCACTTGAGCCACAGCGCCACTTGTGATTTTCTGGTGGTTAATTGGAGATAAGAGTCTCGCTGGCTTTGACCCACAATCCTCAGATCTTAACCTCCTGAGCAGCTAGGATTATGGGTGGGAGCCACTGGTGCCCAGCTGGCCTTGAAGTTTTGATCCCCCTGTCTCAGCCTTCTGAGTGAGTGCTGGGATTATAGGCATGCACCACTATATCTTGCTGTCTCTCACTGTTCTCAGTGATGCCTTCAAATTACTCTAAAAAAGTGTAACCTAGCGTTGTATTTGTAGTCTATATTGTTATACAAGTGTTTTGTGGGAGCATGTTATGGAAGCAGTCTTAAGAATTTAAAAAAATCCAAAAATTTCCTTTGAATCTAGAACTTCAATGATAGATTTTTTTAAAGGTATGTTTCAATATGCTTAATTAGTAGTTATATAAGTCTGAGAATTTGCATATGGATTTTGAATATCCTCTTACAGGTTGGAAAAGAGACTGTTCAGACCACCGAGGATCAGATTTTGAAGAGAGATATGCCACCGGCATTTATTAAGTGAGTAATTTAAATAGTCTATTGTTAAACAGAATAATTCTAGTGGTAGAAAGAAAAAAATAGCTGATTCCATGATAGCTTCTGTTTTTTTTCTTTAATATAAAACTTAAGTTTACAGTTGAAATGGTCAACTTTCAGTACATATTTTTCTTACTATGTTGATTTTATTTTTTTGGTATTGGACATATTAAGCAAGTCCTAAGGAAACGTAAAGGGTAAAACAAGAGACCCTCTCCCACACCCCCCCCCCAAATAAAAGAAGTAGAAGTAGAACTTATAGAAGCCAGTAAAGATGAGGTAAGACTATTAAAAATAAATAAACAAGGATACTATTAAAAACAAATAAACAAAGATTTGAATAGACACTTCAAAAGACAGGAAATCCAGTGTCCAATAAACACACAAGAAAGTACACTTCTCATTAGTTATCAGGGAACTGCAAGTTATTATTGTGATGCAGCCGGCAATTTGTAAGGATGTGAAACAAGCAAGTGGAACTACAATTGCTGGGAATGCAAACTGGTAAAACCATTTTGGAAAATAGCTTTGTATTGGTAAAGAAGACAGGTTTTTTTTTTTTTTTTTTATTTTGGTTGGTTGTGGGGTTTGAACTCTGGGCTTGGTCGCTATCCCTCAGCTCTTTAGCTGCTTGAGCTACAGCGCCACTTCCGGTTTTCTAGTGGTTTCTTGGAGATAAGAGTCTCATGGACTTTCCTGCCGGGGCTGGCTTTGAACCGTGATCCCAGATCTCAGCCTCCTGAGTAGCTAGGATTACAGGTGTGAGCCACCAGCACCTAGCTAGAAGATAGTTTTATTCCTAAGAATATTATTTAGAGATGCTCGCTCTTCACACATGCGTACTAAAATATTTGTATCAACTTTGCTCATGATGACCCCTCTGATCTATGTAAAATGGAAGAAAATAATCATTGTATACACATAAATTATTGACTATAAATCATAAAAAGGAACAATAATTTTTCACTTTGAATGTCTAAGTCTTATATGAATTTCACCTTAATTTTTATTTTATTTTAATTAATTTTTTGGCAGTATTGGAGTTTGGCCTTGTCTGCTAGGCAAACAATTTGAACCACAGCCTCAAACCTTTTTGCTTTTGTTCTTTTGGACTTTGTACTGATATCCTCTGATCTCAGCCTCTTGAGTAGGATTACAGGTGTTCATATATTTTTATCCTCCTTGTTTTCTTATTTTTATTGCATAGATGCAGATATAAACATTTATTTCTAAAATACTTGAGTGAGTACTTCTACTGAACTAGGTGTGCTTTTTGTATATGGGAATAAGGTAATGGAAGCACTTTTTTTTTTTTTTTTTTGGTTGGTCATGAGGCTTGAACTCAGGGCATGGGTGCTGTCCCTGAGCTTTTTTTTTTTTTTTTGGGTCCGGTTGTGGGGCCTGAACTCTGGGCCTGGGTGCTGTCCCTCAGCTCTTCAGCTCAAGGCTAGCGCTCTACCACTTGAGCCACAGAGCCCCTTCTGGCTTTTTTCCTTTTGCTTATGTGGTGCTGAGGAATCGAACCCAGGGCCTCAGGCATGCAAGGCAAGCGCTCTACCACTGAGCCATCTTCCCAGCCCGTCCCTGAGCATTTTTGATCAAAGCTAGCACTGTACTACTTAGAGCCACAGCACCATTTCTGGTTTTTTGGCAGTTAATTCGGAGATAAGAATCTCATGAAAAAAAAAATAGAATCTCACGGACTTTCCTGCTTATCTGGCTTTGAACGGCGATCTTTAGATCTCAGCCTCCTGAGTAGTTAGGATTACAGGTATGAGCCTGGCTAAAAGCATTTTTTTTTTTACTTTTGTTTTTGTGAAGCCTATTATGTATCTTCTTTTGTCTTACCTTCATTATACTGATGACCTCCAAGGTTTCTTCCAGCTTTAAACAGTACAAATCTACTTAGTTTATGTATCTGTCAGTTAAGTGTTATTAAACTTGCATTTATCTTAAATTAAAAACATATCTTTAAGCCAGGTGCACTAGGACTGTATTCTCAGCTGCTTGGAAGGCTAATGCAAGAGGATCTTTTTTTTTTCTGTCCATCATGGGGCCTGAACTCTGGGCCTGGGCTCTGTCCCTGAGCTCTTCAGCTCAAGGCTAGCACTCTACCACTTGAGTCATGACTTCCAGCCTTTTCTGCTTATGTGATGCTGAGGAATGGAACCTGCAAGGCAAGCACTCTACCATTGAGCCACCTTCCCAGCCCCAGGAGAGTCTCTTGAGCCTAGAAATTCAAGACAGCCTGGGAAACATGAGGAGACCCTGTTTCCAAAAAAACAATGGACAAGTAAAAGCTCAGCCCAAGCGTGTTTCAGGTTGTCCTTAACCTGGAAGGTACAGAGCATGAGACAGTAGGGATTTTCAATATCAGGGAGGCAGTTGGGCTTTATGATCTTTCAAAAAATTTCCTTCGGCCCTTACAGCCTAATGTACAAAGATCATTTGATAAGAAATAGATTTTTGTCTGTAAATTCATTTCTACTCATTTCTACAGATAAATCTTTGAAATATACTGTGTTCTCACAGGCTTCCTTGTATTTCCAAATTATATTACTTAAAAACCCAAACTTGGTTACTGGGGCACCAAATTAGTAATTTAAGAGGAAGAATTTGGCTGGCTTTGCTATATAAACTTTATTTCAGAGTACTTGAGTAATCCCTAGCTGATGAGGAGTATTTTAACCAATAAATGTGGAAGGAATGACAGGCGGAATGAAGAAATCACTACTGTATAACTTTCAGTGACAGTTGGTTTATGTAAGGGTCATCATGGATGAAACCATTGGTCTCTATGGGGATTTGGGGAGGAACAATGTATTAGGACCATCTGAAAAATTTACTGGGAAGTTTATTTTAAAACTATGTCACCTAATTAGCCACATCTGAAACTTTACTTTAGCCTCTAGTATAAACAACAATATGACTGTGGTTGTCAACCAAATTTGGAGACGAATAAATAACTCCACAATGTGAAGCTGGATGGTTCTTTATGTTTTCTGACTTTTCTAACTGAAGCAGAAAATACTAGATGCCTTGTCTTGAATGGGGAGGGGACAGAGAGGGAAACAGATGGAAGCAATTAATGACATCCTTGGAATTGTTGAGTAGGACATTCTTTTGGGCTGTTTGGTTGATGTTTAGAAGTTTCCAGGGCATGACTGATCTAAGCTTCCTCTGTAGTCTTAACTTTTACAGGATTTCTAAATAGTAACTGCTTAGCAGCCCTAAGCAAGAAAATAAGTTTTAGAAATTTATTAGTGGATCAGTCTCCTAAAAACATTAGCATGGCAAGGCTAGAGAAAACCATGATTATTGGCCTGTGTGTAATTCTGACATGAACATGTGATATATATTTAATGAATTTCTCTGGGAGGATATGATATTGTTAGAATCATGAACTATTTGTGTGACTGTAGTTAAAGGCATATTGGAAAGTGGGTTTAATATGAGAAGTGATGTATAGATAGAGCATCCCTAATTTGAAAATTCAAAATAAAAAAATCTCCAAGCATTTTAGATAAAGGCTATTCAACTTGTATTTGAATTCTTCCATAAGGGACTTCCAGCGCTGAAGGGATTGTAAAGAACCACTTTAATTTTGAATGAGATTTGCATTGTCACATGAACACTTTTTCATGGGTGCTTTGTGACTGTATTGGCAGATAAAATTAATAATTTACTGTTTGCCCAAGATTGCAATTGGAAGCCACACTGTTATGTGAGAGGCATACAATTGCATGATTGCTATGGAAACTTCCCTGATAGTCACACACTATACATAAAATAGCAGCAATGATGTTTTATGAAGCTTTTGGTTAGACTTGCCCCACTGGAAGTCATTTATTCCCTTAACAAACTGCCAGCAGCAGGGTCAGCTCCTGTGTTCCATATTAGTATTTTGTATCATTATCACTCATCATTATTGTCATCATTAGCCAGCTGTAGTAGTAATTCATACTTACATATAATTGGTTGACTGTTAGTCTAGACACAGTCATTACTTAATTAAGCATTTATTGATTGACTTCTGTTTGTCTAGCATGCTCAGTGTTGCATAGTATATTGCAGCTTCACCAGTGTACAATGAATGATCACTTGTGGGATGTATCAAAGTCTTTCATTAGTAGTGTTTTTTTTTTATTAATAAAGTACTGAAGTTTACTAATACTTAAAAAAAAGAAAGAAACTGACCTGTAGGTGGCAGTAGGCAGGGTTAAAAAAAATTTAAGCCAGGCACCGGTGGCTCACACCTGTATTCTAGCTACTCAGGAGGCTGAGATCTAAGGATCGTGGTTCAAAGCCAGCCCTGGCAGGAAAGTCTGTGAGACTCTTATCTCCAAGTGGCTTAAGAGGTAGAGCACTCACCTTGAGCTGAAGAACTCAGAGACAGTGCTCAGGCCTAGACTTCAAGCCCCATGACTGAAAAAAATATTGAGAATATTCAAAGTCAGATCTGTCCCTCTTGTTTCTGCTTACCATTAAAAAAAAAAACCCAACAAACCCAAACCTCTCATTAAAGTAGAATATATTATTTTTGCTTTTTATTGTGTTTACTTTTATATGTTTTATTTTTCTATGTATCATGGAGACACAAAGGTGGAATCTACTAGAGATATTTAAAAATATTTGAAGGAGTTTCAGGTTCAAGAGCTGCAATGAAGGTTTATTTTATAAAAGGGATGCAGAGAAGGCGAGTTCTCACTGTAATAGGAATCCTGTAAGTAACTCATAAGGTCTGTGAGGAGGGTCGCCATCATGGTAGGGTAACAAAGCTCAATGGGGAGAGTTTTGGTCAAGTGATGAAAGTCTTGAGAGCTTTGTCAGTGGTTTTTCAGAAAATTTGTAGAGAATTGATAATAGATGCTAGTCTTGTAATAAGGAGAATAAGGTACATGTCATGCTTCCTAGATTCATTTTCTGGTTTGTGTAAATTTGCTTCAGATTATTCCTTATTGGTGAAATATGTTCATGGCATT